GACGGAATCGAAGAGGTCACGGTTGGTCTGGTAAGAATGCAAGGTCAAAGGAAGAAGCGGAAGATGAGGTCACGGTTGGTCTGGTAAGAATGCAAGGTCAAAGGAAGAAGCGGAAGATGAGGTCACGGTTGGTCTGGTAAGAATGCAAAGTGAAAGGAAGAAGCGGAAGATGAGGTCACGGTTGGTTTGAGAAGAATGCAAGGTCAAAGGAAGAAGCGGAAAGTGAGGTCACGGTTGGTTTAAAAAGAATGCAAGGTCAAAGGAAGAAGCGGAAGGTGAGGTCCCGGTTGGTTTGAAAAGAATGCAAGGTCAAAAAAAGAAGCGAAAGGTTAAGTCACGGTTGGTTTAAGAAGAATGCAAGGTCAAAGGAAGAAGTGGAAGGTGAGGTCGCGGCTAGGTCGAGATCAGTGAAAGGCTAAAACAAGAAAGTTATGTAATAAATAGAGAAGGGTCAAAAGATATGACGAAGCCAAAAAGAATAAGAGCTGCTCAAATGGGAAGACGGTTTACAACAAGACGAAGGCTTGGGTTACCCCAGAAATAGAGCAAGGGTTTTCTACGCCCACGTGATCATTCACAGGACTTCCCTGTGCGGAAAACCTCTACTTCTCGTATCGACGCTATAGTTCAGTCAATATATGAAATACCCGGAACAAATTGCAACAGAAGGTGCCGTGGTCTGATTTTGGCGGATTCTGCATATGAAGATTAGGCGGGTCTAATCAACAACTTCCAACAATAAAACCTGTTGCAATTTGTTCCAGGTAGGCCAAAAATTTGCATATATTGACTGGAGTACTATCGCCGCTGCACCCTTGCGCACGCATGCACAGCCTCCGTACCAGCATTCTCGTCTGCCTGTGCGTAGAATCGCTGGTCGCTGAGCTCCGTCATCGTGGCGAGCTTCGGCTTGAAGCTGAGTGTGATCGAGGAGACGCGGGTGTCGGTCGTCGTCGACGCCGTGTTACACTCGCTCGTCGTGCGAAACCGCTCCATCCGCTTACCTGCAACACATTACAGGTTACACGTTACACGTTATGTATCATAGAGTTACAGGCAGATATATCATAGAGTTACAGGCAGATATATCATAGAGGTACAGGCAGATATATCATAGAGGTACAGGCAGATATATCATAGAGGTTAGAAGGTACAAGGCTAAGAATATATCGTAGAGGTACATGGAGATAGTATCATAGAGGTAGCAGGCAGATATATCAATAGAGTTAAAGGCAGATGATATCATAGAGTTACACGGCCAGATATACCTCAAATAGAGGTAACAAAGGCGCAGATATATCATAGAGGTACAAGCAGATATATAATATCATAGAGTTACAGGCAGATATATCTTAGAGTTACAGGCAGATATATCATAGAGTTACAGGCAGATATATAATAGAGGTACAGGGAGATATATCATAGAGTTACAGGCAGATATATCGTAGAGTTA